TGAGCTGGTGACTGATGGAGTACCTTGTGGTAGGTCAGCCGTTACATTGGCTACTGCATGTAAATCTATAGACACGGTTATTAAAGTACTAATTAAAAACATTTAAAATTGATTTATCGAATTTATTAAAGTTCGGTCACAACATTGCATAACAGATATTTTATGTGTATGTAACACCTTTTCATAACAACACTATTCCAAGTAAATGAAATACCGTCAACCATTTGTATTTAAACCTTTTTCCATCATAAAAAGTATAATTTCGTAAAACAAAATCCAAAACGGTGATTGGTAAGAAGCTAAGGTAAGGTAAGAAATGTGCTTTGCTTTATCTATGATTTAATCTTTACCGATTATAATATTTATGGTTTTAAGTTGGAGTAAACGGACTGGCTATATGAGGTAGTATTTTGTGCCTATTTGATTTTCTCCATTTTTATGCTAATGGTGGGATGGTTTTAACTGTCACTAAACATCAACGCGTTTAAAACAGAACGACGCAAACGTTGTAATTTCCAACAGTCGCCTATCCATTTATAAAGATTAGTTGCTTGGATGCCCCAGTGACTAAAATCGAAAGTGTCGTTTAAATAAATACAAGAACAATTAGTGCACCCGCATAATATTGATCTAGAATCTAGGTCATGAATAATGAGCTCTGTGGACTTCGATGCGAATAAAATATCACTACTAAAATATAAAAAATGTAAATAAATAAAAGCGATACACCAAGAACATATATATCTACTTTTGTAAGTATGAGGCAGGGGGTCTCAATATATTGAAAACGTATGTCTAAGAACGATTTTGAAGCACTTTGGAATTATCCTATGTAGGTATATGAAATAATTCTAATATTGTTATATACAACAAAATATACACAAATATTACTCGAAATAAATTAATCATTTAACGCACTGTCGTCATAAAAATTCCGATTCTGTTTGAATCACGAAAAATTATTTCGATCACTTTGATAAAAATTTATTGAAATTGGTGCGAAATCAATAACTAAAACTTGGAGGATTGAAAAAAATACATGCGACAGTCCAAAGCATAGGACAACGCGATTGAATTAAAAATTGTAATCAGAAAGAATTATTTAATAGTTGGACTAAAGTACTATCGGAGTATCTGGTGGTATTCGATTAAAAATTACAGTAGTTTAAAAATTTCCGACCCATTGAGACGACAACGCGGAAAACATTATCAATAGTATCCAGTTTTACTGTAATGTACGATCGGACAGTGATACACGACGTATGTATTAGTTATAATGTAAAAAGAGAATTTGGGCTCGTTGCAAAGAACTACTTCATGTTTCTACAAGTCGATACCGTGAGCGGGCCTGACTGTACAATTAAAAGTGTACAATTTACACATATCGTTGTCTCTGTTTTGTCAAAGAGAAGGAAGAGGGATGACAATATATACTATACATTTGCCACGGTTTATTACAACGCTATCTATTATATACTTTAAAGGAAAACTTGATTATAAAGGTATAGTTATTAAATAACGTATAAAGAAATAAGACACATGCTTTATCAGCCTATTAAATTGTAACTTTTTCGTTTAAAAGTGACTTAATAAAAAACGCCATCGATTCTATCTTGTACCACGCACCAGTGCAATATTTTCGGCGCGCGCGCATTCCCTCCTCGTTATTGTAATCGAAAACGTTGGCTCGAACTCAGCCGGCTATAAGCTGCTGGAGTGTTGCCAGCTCTAATGTTAAAGATACAGTTAGATCTGACTCTCGTTTGTTTGTTTTAGAGCATCTTCTAACGCATCGAGCTCTTTTACAACGCAGTTACGTCGGAAGTGTTTAAATTATGTAATCTGTATGAATTTGCAGAATCAAAGAATGTTAAGGCTAGAATTTGAGAAAAATAACCTAGGAAATGAAAGGAAAGTTGAAATGGTGTTAGCAAAAAATAGTTTGTTAGTATCGTCTCCCTTCAGGTCAAATTATACCCTAATTATGATGGATGGCTAACTGCTGAACAAAACAATATTATGTCGAAATTTAAAGTTCTATTTACGTGTCCAAGTGCATCTATTACTTATTCTAAAACCATTAAAATCGTATAATAGTTTACACAGATAAATAATATTTGTGCATAGACTGATATTCAATTATTGATTTTATAGTACTGAAAAAGAAAAACATTTGTTAGGTATAAAAAGCTGGAGCGCTTGTGCGGAAACACTTACGTAAGCAACAAAGCTCGATACTCCGCGACCTTATACAAATGTCACGTGTTCTGGGTAAGTATTGATTGAAATCTAATTTTAGCTTTAATAAAATATTTATATTACAATTGGCTATGGTTTCCCCGATCGATGATACAATAGGAAGTAACTAAATATGTAACGTGTCACAGAATTTGAGTTTTATGGTAGCTTCTTAGGTTTATGGTTTACAAAGATTTTAAAACAGAATTACATAGTCTTAGTCATTGTTTACCAGTGTAAAAAATTAATGTGAGGACGTTTATATTTGGAACCGACTACGCATAGATACTGTGAATTATCATCACTAGCTGTAGCCCGCGACTCGGTCCGAGCGGAATTTAAAAAAAAACATAATTATTAGCCTATGTGTTCTTCCAAATTATATTCTATATGTATGCCAAATTTCAGCATGATCAGTTTACCCGTTCTGGAGATACTTTCAAACATCCATCCTTCCATCCATCCATCCAAGCATTCGCATTATACAAAGACGTCCATTCAATACATTTTAGATGAAATCGTTAACTCTCAGTTGCAAGTTTTATTCTAAACACATAAATCTAAAAGCATCGAATGCTACAATTTCGAGTAGTACAGCAGAAAGGGACGAAACCAAATGGGCAATGTGCCAATAAATTTTGGCTATCTTGGCTTGCTAATATTATAAATGCAAAAGCTTAGAAAGATGGATGTTTGTTAGATGGTATCTCCAGAACGGCTGAACGGATATCGATGAAATTTGGCATATATGTAGAACATAATATGAACAAAATACATAGGCTACTAATTACGTTTTATTCAATTTCGCACAGACGGAGTTGCGGGTGACAGCTAGTATCCTATTATTATTACCTAGAAACTGTTATAATCATTAATAAATTAAAGAAATCTGAGAACTGTGAACAAAGAAATGACAAAGTCAAACCTGTTTTGTCTCATGTTCTCTTAAAAGCTAACAAATATCTGATTACTAAATATGACAGATACATCGGATGTTTAATATTCAATGAATTTCACCATTATTTCTTATCCCGCCAAAAAATCTCACCACATCATACTTAGGTCATAACATTGTTTAAAGTGTTGATTGCATGCGGTCTCATAATGTTGCATAGAATTTTATTGAGCAATAATATTTCAGAACATGCTGTTTCATTAAATCGAAGCTTTATTCGTCGACCGTAAGTACCAATAAAATTTATCCTTACATTCTACTTTGATTCCAAATTGTGGAATGCGTTAAATGAAAGTACGTTTTAATGTATGTTCTCGTTATTCATTAGAGCTAGCTGTCGCACGCAACTCCTTCCGCGCGGAGTTAAAAATATAATAAGTAGTCTATGCGTTCTTCCAGAATATTCTCTAGATCTATGACAAATTTCATCGAGATCCGTTCAACCATTTTAGAGATACCTTCTAACAAATATCTAGGCCATCCATCCATCTATTCATTCGCATTTATAATATTAGTAAGACAAATTTCACTTACATTTTGAAGCTTTAATTGCATAATAACTATTCTCGTTTTAATAAACAATAAGAAATACTTAACAATTCACAAAAAAGTAACTATACCAAGAGGGCGCTTGCTTGTTATCCACTTTCAGTAAAAACCAGAGCATTAGCGAGATAGAACTGAAACTATTTATAGCGCTTTAGATTCCACACCAGCCTTCGCTTCGAGAACTGAATTCCCTCACCACCTCCAAACC